ACTTCTCAAGTTGTGGCTTTTTACTTTTCTTCAAATAGACCCAAACTTAAAATTTGAACAGACGCTAGTTGTTGATAAAGGTTTCATGTTGATTTGTTTGAAGATATAGAATGTGTTGTTGTAAGGGTTCACATACCACTTTGCAAACCTTAAAGTTTTCACAGTGATAAAATATATATAAAAAGAAACAAGACAACGAAACCAATTTGTTTTCTTCTCTCCGGATTATCCCAGTATTACGTCTCTGTAATTCTTGTAAAATAATTTGTTTCTTCACAATTTTCGTCCTGCCATTAATTGAATGTTTAGATTTAAGGAACTTAACAAGGTCATCTATGGCTTTCACAGTTACATCTTCCACTTTGTTGAAAGATAAAAACTCCAGTGACGGTATTCAGATGAAAAGCTGTTGAAGAATGAATAAGACAACAATTTAGTCAAACTAGATATTTGTTTAAATTATAAAGCTATAATTTTCGTACTAGATTTTATATAATCGAGATAAAGACAACACGTATGAGTGATCAAGGAGATGAGAGATGGACATAAATATAAACTACAAACAATGAGAGATGGACAGAAATATAAACTACAAACAATGAGAGATGGACAGAAATATAAACTACAAACAATGAGAGATGGACAGAAATATAAACTACAAACAATGAGAGATGGACAGAAATATAAACTACAAACAATGAGAGATGGACAGAAATATAAACTACAAACAATGAGAGATGGACAGAAATATAAACTACAAACAATGAGAGATGGACAGAAATATAAACTACAAACAATGAGAGATGGACAGAAATATAAACTACAAACAATGAGAGATGGACAGAAATATAAACTACAAACAATGAGAGATGGACAGAAATATAAACTACAAACAATGAGAGATGGACAGAAATATAAACTACAAACAATGAGAGATTTACAGAAATATAAACTACAAACAATGAGAGATGGACAGAAATATAAACTACAAACAATGAGAGATGTACAGAAATATAAACTACAAACAATGAGAGATGGACAGAAAAATAAACTGCAAACAATGAGAGATGGACAGAAATATAAACTACAAACAATGAGAGATGGACAGAAATATAAGCTACAAACAATGAGAGATTTACAGAAATATAAAGTACAAACAATGAGAGATGGACAGAAATATAACCTACAAACAATCAGAGATGGACAGAAATATAAACTACAAACAATGAGAGATGGACAGAAATATAAACTACAAACAATGAGAGATGGACAGAAATATAAACTACAAACAATGAGAGATGGACAGAAATATAAACTACAAACAACGATAGATGGACAGAAATATAAACTACAAACAATGAGAGATGGACATAAATATAAACTGCAAACAATGAGAGATGGACAGAAATATAAACTACAAACAATGAGAGATTTACAGAAATATAAACTACAATCAATGAGAGATGGACAGAAATATAAGCTACAAACAATGAGAGATGGACAGAAATATAAACTACAAACAATGAGAGATGGACATAAATATAAACTACAAACAATGAGAGATGAACAAAAATATAAGCTACAAACAATGAGAGATTTACAGAAAAATAAACTACAAACAATGAGAGATGGACAGAAATATAAACTACAAACAATGAGAGATGTACAGAAATATAAACTACAAACAATGAGAGATGGACAAAAATATAAACTACAAACAATGAGAGATGGACAGAAACATAAACTACAAACAATGAGAGTTGGACAGAAATATAAGCTACAAACAATGAGAGATGGACAGAAATATAAACTACAAACAATGAGAGATTGACAGAAATATAAGCTACAAACAATGAGAGATGGACAGAAATAAAAACTACAAACAAAGAGAGATGGACAGAAATATAAACTACAAACAATGAGAGATGGACAGAAATATAAACTACAAACAATGAGAGATGGACAGAAATATAAACTACAAACAATGAGAGATGGACAGAAATATAAACTACAAACAACGATAGATGGACAGAAATATAAACTACAAACAATGAGAGATGGACATAAATATAAACTGCAAACAATGAGAGATGGACAGAAATATAAACTACAAACAATGAGAGATGGACATAAATATAAACTACAAACAATGAGAGATGAACAAAAATATAAGCTACAAACAATGAGAGATTTACAGAAAAATAAACTACAAACAATGAGAGATGGACAGAAATATAAACTACAAACAATGAGAGATGTACAGAAATATAAACTACAAACAATGAGAGATGGACAAAAATATAAACTACAAACAATGAGAGATGGACAGAAACATAAACTACAAACAATGAGAGTTGGACAGAAATATAAGCTACAAACAATGAGAGATGGACAGAAATATAAACTACAAACAATGAGAGATTGACAGAAATATAAGCTACAAACAATGAGAGATGGACAGAAATAAAAACTACAAACAAAGAGAGATGGACAGAAATATAAACTACAAACAATGAGAGATGGACAGAAATATAAACTACAAACAATGAGAGATGGACAGAAATATAAACTACAAACAATGAGAGATTTACAGAAATATAAACTACAAACAATGAGAGATGAACAGAAATAAAAACTACAAACAATGAGAGATGAACAGAAATATGAACTACAAACAATGAGAGATGGACAGAAATGTAAGCTACAAACAATGAGAGATGAACAGAAATATAAACTACAAACAATGAGAGATGGACAGAAATATAAACTACAAACAATGAGAGATGGACAGAAATAAACCACAAACAATGAGAGATTTACAGAAATATAAACTACAAACAATGAGGGATGAACATAAATATAAACTACAAACAATGAGAGATGGACAGAAATATAAAATACAAACAATGAGAGATTTACAGAAATATAAACTACAAACAATGAGAGATTTACAGAAATATAAACTACAAACAATGAGAGATGGACAGAAATATAAACTACAAACAATGCGAGATGGACATAAATATAAACTACAAACAATGAGAGATGGACAGAAATATAAACTATAAACTATGAGAGATTTACAGAAATATAAACTACAAACAATGAGAGATGGACAGAAATATAAACTACAAACAATGAGAGATGGACAGAAATATAAACTACAAACTATGAGAGATTTACAGAAATATAAACTACAAACAATGAGAGATGAACAGAAATATAAACTACAAACAATGAGAGATGGACAGAAATATAAACTACAAACAATGACAGATGGACAGAAATATAAACTACAAACAATGAGAGATGGACAGAAATATAAACTACAAACAATGAGAGATTTACAGAAATATAAACTACAAACAATGAGAGATTTACAGAAATATAAACTACAAACAATGAGAGATGAACAGAAATATAAACTACAAACAATGAGAGATGAACAGAAATATAAACTACAAAGAATGAGAGATGGACAGAAATATAAGCTACAAACAATGAGAGATGGACAGAAATATAAACTACAAACAATGAGAGATGAACAGAAATATATACTACAAACAATGAGAGATGAACAGAAATATAAACTACAAACAATGAGAGATGGACAGAAATATAAGCTACAAACAATGAGAGATGGACAGAAATATAAACTACAAACAATGAGAGATGTACAGAAATATAAACTACAAACAATGAGAGATGGACAGAAATATAAACTACAAACAATGAGAGATGGACAGAAATATAAACTACAAACAATGAGAGATGGACAGAAATATAAACTACAAACATTGAGAGATGGACAGAAATATAAGCTACAAACAATGAGAGATGGACAGAAATATAAACTACAAACGTATATGACCTTTATATCAATTGCTACAACTTGTTACCTGAATGCCATTTACACAACTTGTTACCTGAATGCTGTTTGCACAACTTGTTACCTGAATGCTATTTACACAACTTGTTACCTGAGTGCTATTTACACAAAAACTTGTTACCATATTCTATTTACTCCACTTGTTACCTGAATGCTACTTCAACAACTTGTTACCTGAATGCTATTTACACAACTTGTTACTTGAATGCTGTTTACACAAGGCTAGTGTCAGTTATGATCAAGTGTATGGTTAAATGCTTTTATAAACTTCCACGTTTATTTACAAACATATATGCTAATTATCACATAGTATATATCTATCTTACTTCAAATGTACATTGAGCAATAAAGCACTACTATCTAATGATTATACACTTCTAATATACCTACATAGACAATATCATGACTTAAGTACTTCTTCCTGCAATTAGACAAATAAATGACAGGTATAGGAATTAAATCGACATGATCTCCGGGTTTCTTGATTTGTGGATTCTGGAGACAGCAGTTATTGAACTTGTTGTTACTGAATTGTTATTTAACTTAAACTGAAATGATAATAAAAGCAATTGTAAATTATTGTGGTGTAAAGCTATTCTATTTCAATTTCAGTGATATTACAATATACTGAATACAAATAATACAGAATTCTTCCTCTTGGAATTCTTGATCATTGACATGCTCAATGTCTTCCATAACAAATCTAAGCATTCTTGTAAAAAGTCACAAAACTATAGAGACAATGTATTTGGAGTACCTGTCAATCAAACACATCAAAACAACAGTCAGCTAATCTTATTTTGGTTCAAAATATAGACCTACAATCCATTATGCCCAGTACTATATAGAAATCCCATATTGAAAGCTAGCTTCAAATACAGGGAACTTATGTGATTATGATGTTTCTAACATCGCTATAACAATTTTTCAGTCACATCGATACGATGTCTGCAGTATGGCAGTTATAGCACTGGGGCATCATGCCGCAGACATGTAGCATGATGTCCCATCCAATCACATTATCCTGACACCAGGCTGACCAGTCCTAACACTAGCCTCTTAATTTTGAGCGTCAAGCGAGGCAACTGTTAGTACGATTTTTGTAAGTCTTTGGTATAACTCGACCGGGGATTGAACCCACGACCTCCGCTTTCGAGGCGGACGCTCTAACCACTAGGCCATCGTAGCGGTTGAAGGAAACTGAAATAGGGGCATTATAAAATGACAGTTAACTAGGAGTAAAAGCAAACAAACAGTTATATTTGACTTGAGTGAAGTTCACAATTTCCGATAATAAGGTGATGACATAAAGCAACCCTGGCAGGCAAGCATCAGAATCTAGGGATATTCAGACCTGGGACCTGTTTTAGAAGCATATATACATGTGTGAACACCTTGGCACTTAACTGTGTATTTAATGGCCAGGATTTTTTTAAAATGCCTGCGTTGATAAATTGCATGTCATATCTAACCCATTTATCTTCCCCTTTGACCCTCTAATGCCGCTTCTGACACACTGAAGAGATGTATGGGTCACGCTGACAATTCCAGCCCGCCATTGGTTTAGAAAATAATTATAACCAAGAAAAAGAAGAAACATGACACGACTACATACACATGTAACTCGTGTCACTCTGTCTCTACTAATAAATCTCTTGTGTTGACCACTGCATGAATTTTGTTAATCCATTTTGCTAACCATTAGACAGTTTTGTGACTAATTGATTTTGAAGTACAGGCCGCACTGGAGAGAATAAATTCGACAAAATATCTGGGGACCCAAAACGGTCAGAGGGCTATCGTAGAAGTGAAAAAAAATTAAGTCATAGGCGCCTACTGGAGAATTTTTCTAATGACCCACAAATGTTCACGGCGCTGCTGATTTATGCTAAGATCTATTTTAAGAAAACTTAAATCACACAAGGACTGATGTAGACAAATCATATTTTGCGATAACTGTCCAGAGCAATCATTCATGATTCGAAATGAAAGCTGGTTGGAGCAACATAAACTTAAAGTACCAATCCAATCATTGCAGATCGTTGTTAGCACTTATATGTACCTGAACTTGACCTACTTTAGCTTATGATACATTTCTTCCTGCCCAGCATACACTAAATGAGCAGCCAAGTGATCATCTTCGCTAGCCATGGTTCCGATAACCCTATCTGAACCTTGGCATATGTATGAGGCGCCGTAGCGGACAAAAGCTAGTCCAATCAGAACGATGTCGTTGAAATTTTAATGTCGTATGTCAGAAATTCCAAAGTCATGTGTTGTATAAAAAATGCTTATCCTTAAAGTTCCATTTTCCAGGTCGAGATTTGAGATTGTGTCTTTTGAATTTAACAGAAGTGGATGAAAGTTATATTTTCTATGTCAGGGTTTTAGACTGTCGTTTGAATTACACTGCAGTGATTGAAATTTCAATGCCACACATCGAAAATTCCTAATTTACGTATTGGTTCAAAGAGTTTATGTTGAAAGTTCCTTTCATATTTTGAGCACTTTAGATTTCATCTGTTGAATTACACAGAGATGGTTGAAAATTCGATGTCTAATATCAAGTTTGTACACTGTATTTTGCGAATTACATGGCGGTTGTTGACACTAATGTCATTTATCGAGAGTTTTAATTTAACATGTTGAATTCCATTGATTGTGCTGAAAGTTCCATTTCGTATGTTGATTTGTTAAATGTATCTGTTGAAGTACACAGCGGTGATGGAACAGTTAATTGTGCTTGTCAGAATTGTTATTTTTATATGGCAAAATGATGTGTTTGTGTTAAAAGAAACAGATCACAATGTCAACTTTAGGTGGCAGGGTACGGTGTCGTATATTGGCCCCTGAAATTTCTTAACTTAAAGCTATGGTGTGACTTTTTCAGCTATTATTGTTTACTAATTAAAGATATGGATATATTTGTGAACTATGTGTTTTGGACTTGTGTTTTTCTTGAAATTGATGCCAGGCATGTACACTTTCCATAGTTACTCTGCAGTATGTTGATAATTAAATAGTTGGCTAGGAAGAAGAGCTACACTGTCATAGCAGTAACTCATGAGTTTGGGAAAAATAGAATATCTCAAAAAAGGCTTGGATGACAACTATTTTAACTGCATCAGCCTGTTTAGTAGAATTGTCATCAAGGAAAAGGGCTTTTTTTTGCACTATGAGTATCACATGGTGACAAAAATGACATTTGGACATGAAAATTGCAGGTATAAATTTGGGGTTGGGGTGCATAAACTTTTGCTATGAACTGCTACTGGCTTCTCTGATCAAGTGGATAATATGGACATTCTTGACCTCACTTGTGTATTTGATTTGATATGACATTTTATACCAGGTCACTAACTGAGGCATTAAATTTGTACATAACAACTGGCTTCTGCCCCCTTAACCATTCAAACTAATATCGAGTATTAAGATACATCATTCGTGTATTCGGTTATGAGGCGCCATTACATTTCATGCATTTGCAGTTTGAAAGTTACCATTAACAGGTTGAGAATTAATATGAATTTCTTTGCCAGAGTTCACTGTATCTGCAAACAAAGAGTCTGCTTCTCCTTGCAGTGAAATTTAACAGATGAAATCTAAATATTCGCCATATGAAATGGAACTTCCATCACAGTTACATTCAACGTGTGAATTGTGGATTCTCGACATATGATATTCAAATTTCAATCACCTCTGTGTAATTCAAAATATACACTGTAAAACGTCCACATAGGAAATAGAACTTGAACTAACCACCACTGTATAATTCAACATATAAAATCTAAAATATTGATTTAGAAAATGGAACAATAAGGGCATGAAATTTGATCCAACACGTGATACTGGATTTCTTGATATACAATATCGAAATATTAACTGCGACGTTTTCACTTACCCAGCTTTTTTTTCTTTTTTTGTCTGCTCGTTTCAAACATATCAGAAGATATTTCCGAGCTTCGTGTCTGAAAATTTCATTGCCTGAAGGCGGCAAGCCACAACATGCAATCAAAATTATGTTGTTCAAATTTGAACACTGTTCTGACGTGATCGAGAAGGCAAGGGAAGCGCACAACTTAAATGGACTGATAAATAAGAAATTTTCCAGTGTCGGTCTGTGTTTGCACAAAAACCTTTCACTCAAATACACCTGTAATGGCTTCCCTCTGGTACATAATTATACTTTTCGATGTTAAATTTCCTATGTATCCTTTTCAGGTCAATTGCAACCACCGTTTTCGGCGTCACTACGCTGTTGGTAAGTTAGCATTGCATACTAAGGGAGTTAATTTGCATAAAATCCAATAGATATCGCTAGGACAAAGCATCAATATAGCAATTCGATCCGCCAAGATGTAGATAGGGTTGTCCAAACCTTGGCTAGCGAGAATAGCCAGGTGACGTATTTAGGCGTACTGTCACGTGCCTCAGGAAGTTAGTAGCTGGTAAATTAATATTTAATCCTCTGCGTTTCATACGTTTTTCCATAACAACTGTGTTCTGTTTTGTATTATTAATGAAAATGGGTTACGAAAGACTTATTTTTAAAAAAATTGACATCGTAGGATTTTATCCAGAGCGTATGTGACATGCTATCAGATAAAACTGATACCTTGCTGGGTAAAGATTGCACTTACTGTATTATGGGTGATAGCAGACAACAGAGAAATCGAAGTAGAAATTTAATGTGGTTGATTTTGGTATACTCGGTGTTACTAATGCTTTGTCCCTTACGATCGTTACTGTTGCCATCATAGCATCAATAAATGGATGAATGTGAGGTTGGATATATTTAACAACAAAGTGCCCAATCCCACATGTGTTAATAATATGTGCCCGTACGTCTGTACAATGTGCTCCTATCTTTGTGCATATGAACACTATAAGCGTTCGTAGAGAAGAAGACAGGTATTTAACTATAAATATAGGGTTGCATGTCCGTCGCGTTCTTCTGTTTGTCTATACTGATGCCAATATGTCTACCAGTCATATCTGCAATGCAGAATTTAGACATAGCGATGCCCTAAGCTATGTGAAGATGAATAGGCCCTATTTGTTATTAAATAAATTTGAGAGGCCCCTTAAAACTGTGAGGCCCTAAGGCAGGGACGGGCAACATACGGCCCGCGGGCCAGACCCGGCCCGCGACGGGATTTCGACTGGCCCGCAGACTGTTTCTTGTCGTACATGATAATGTCGCCCGCGGTTAGAATTCAGTTAAAATTAGATTTAGAATTTACAATAGAATTTTTATCATGGATTTTGTCAAGAAATGTAAAGTTGACAGCGCGTGTCGCGCATTTAACAAAGATTGAATGTCTAAGTACTTTTTCACAGAAGTCGGCAAGAAAGCAGCATGTTTGCTGTGCAGTAAATGTGTTGCCGTGTTGAAAGAGTACAACATTAGCCACCATTATGCGACGAAACATGCAGGCTATGGCAGAACTTTATCAGCAGCAGAACGGCAAACAGGAGCAACAGAACTGGACATAAAACGTTTAAAGCAGTAGAATGTATTCGAAAAAAAAACAAAGTAGCTCAGAAGGCTGTTACTCATGACTGCTTTGTGGTCGCATACAACACTGCTAATCACAGCAAATCGTTCTGTGATGGTGAATTTGTCAAAACGTGCATGCTCGATGTAGCTGATCAAGTCTGTCCAGAACAAAGAAAGAAGTTTGAAAAAGTCAGTTTATCGAGAAGAACTGTGGCTCGCCGCATTGAAGCAATTGGTGAACACCTGACATCACAACTGAAAGGGCGTGTACCTTCATTTCAGCTGTTTTCCTTTGCATTGAATAAAAGCACTGACATCGATGACACTGCACAGTTGCCCATCTTTTTACGAGGCATTTCAGAAAACTTTGAAATCACAGAAGAATTGCTGTCAATGGAATCACTGAAAGACACTACTACCAGGGAAGATATTTTTGAATGTGTGGAAAATGCCATGCATACAATGCAATTACCATGGCAGAAAATGGCCAGTGTTACTACGGATGGTTGTCCATCTTTGACAAGAAAGAAAGTTGGTATACTGAAGAGACTGGGTGACCATGTTGCAGAGGTCGATTGCACCAGGGAGTTGATATTTCTACATTGCATAATACACCAGGAAGTGCTATGTAAAAGTGTGCTTGACATGAAACATGTGAATCCAGTTGTGCAAATTGTTAATTTCATCA